CTTCCTTCTCGCCATCTCGAAACAGCTGCAAATACGAGCAAACTGCTTACAAGGCCTCAATCAACGCTGAGAAGAGTTTGTTCTAATTGACTCAACGCTCCCCACGGGTTTAACCATCTGGATGCACTTTCGGCTTGTATTCCCCAGGAATTCACCTTCCGCCGTATGATTCTGCACTACATGGCCCTCCGAGGGAAAATTTACACCTCACTTCTTGACAGTCCCAGTGTATGTCCGATCTGTGGCACACGGTTTATAGCTGACGAATTGGTTGATTGAATGGAACTGGCTTCCTGAATTAGAAAAGCTAGCTGCAAACAACCGTATTGTGAATTTCTCCACCCCGTTATTCCAACTTACGCTTTCCGAAACCCTGGCCATCAATTCAACCGTCCAAGGACACGCAACCTCAGCAGTAGTTTTCAATGTTAGTTCAAAGTAGCCGGCCGAAAACTTGGAATACTTCTTGTTTCTTATTTTACACAACTTACAGTTTCTTGTCACATACCACGCAATACCCTTCAGTTTTACTTTCCCCTTGTTGCTGTCTGCCATCTTCGATTTGTAACTGTGTGATCTTGCCTCAGTTTCGTATGTTCCGTACGTGCTGGAAAACCCTATCGACTGAGTTTTTGTACCCCAATGTCACCTTCATTTGAATCATACCAATTTAACCACGACGCCATGATGCCATAAGTTACGTGACGACCTCGCCTCCGCACATTGCTGGGCACGCAAACTGGCGTCACTGTTTTCTTCATTCTAACCGTACCACTATGGGTACGCCCGACGGCAGGCCACCCAACAGTTTTGAATATGCATAATAATAATGAAAATTATTTTTTCTAAATTACTCACTTCAAAGAATGAGGACGCAGACTTAGCAGAACTGCAAGTTCTGGCTGCGACTGGAGGCTGAAGTATCTTACTATAAGGCTTCCTCACATGGACTTTTGGCCATCAAACCCTCTTTTGTCTTCGTCCATCTGCCTTCGCCATAACCAATAATAACATATGTCCAGGCAAACCTCGACCGAATTCTGTGCTAAAAACGAGAATTCCACGGTCGCAGTTTTCTTGTCGCCTCCCATGACTATGTTTATCTCAACTCCAAACATTCATGTCAACCCTTACAAAGTCTACGCCGCCGACGGACTGGCAGATCTCAAAGTTGAACGCTGACAGCAAAGGCTGATGGACATTGAAGGCTAAGAAATGGAGGAGGCCCAGAAAATCTGGGATGCCAGATTATTTCAGATTATCCGTGCATCCTGTCTCAGGAAACTACCAGCGAGCAAAACCACCAAACACTAAATTGACGCGATCATTTGGAATCGAGCAGGACACCCCGACCGCTTTGCTGCGGACTGTAAACGATGGTTATCGTGGCCACTCGCTGCCAATTGTTTATCCTACGACTAGAGCATAACCCTTGACGCTAAACATGGGAGCCACGTGACCTCGGAGGCCTATGACTAAATATATTCTCTCATGCGTCACCGAGCCGATGGCCCGTAAGTTCTCCCGCCCGCATGGTTCAAAAACGGAAGCGAAGTCGTCAGTCTGTGCCTGTCTCCTCTGTTTATGTGCAGTTGAGAAAAAAGGACTGTCCCAGACCACTGGGAAAAACCAGTGACATGGTTCATTTTGTAAAAAAGCCCGTAGTTGGCGCGATAATCACGGAAGGATCAGTTTGATCTCGTTCGTAACGATACCTTTGGCGTAGCTTGTCCTCTCTTGCCTTATAGTGGCCTCCAAGGTCCTGACTTGAGGAAAGCTAGCAATATTTCTGCTTGGTGGTGGTTGCGCCGACCAAATCTACACACACCGTCAGGTGCTAGAACAACGTCATATGTGCAAACGACCCACAAGTTCAGTATTTGTGGATTTCCAAGGTGCATTCTACTCAGTCTATCGGTGTGTTCCTCCTCATGAGGGATGTCCTGGAAGTTTTTGAATGGGATAAGTCCATTGAATGCTTAGACCTGGGAGAGAACGAAAACGTACTGATAGTCATCAGAAGTGGTGTTCACTCCCTGTATCGCCACTTAATGCCGTGATATATGAGGTAAAGCAAAGAACGCTGAAATGTAGCGAATATACACTCATTTGCAAACTAATTTGGTTCATTCAAAGTACATATATATGAGGTAAAGCAAAGAACGCTGAAATGTAGCGAATATACACTCATTTGCAAACTAATTTGGTTCATTACAAAGTACATTACAAAGACAAACGCTGAAATGTCTTCAAAACGCCGCCGTTCAGATAGCGGCTGAAAAAAACTGTCAATCTCAAGTATGCTGATAACATCAAACCAGTCTTCGAAGAGAGGATGCAGGTGTTTTTGAACGAACTGACCTCGTTCTTTGGGATGCGTTTTTCACCGATAGAGTGCAAGGTCTTGTTTGTGGACGTGCATTTTCTGAACACGATACTTACAATTCAGGGAGAGGTACTCGAAGTTGTGAGATATTTTATGTATATTGGAAGGGATATTATTTTCGAGTCTAGGTTGACGGATGAGGTCAATGTTGAAGTCTCTAGGGCTCCTGTTGCGCTGGTTAGTTTGAGACACATATAAGTGCAAAGCTGCATATTTTTGGATTTCGAAAGACGTGTACTAGGTTACAGTACGGGATGTTTTACTGTATGGCTGTGGGAAGCAGTCTTTTCAGGCAGCGGAATTGAGATGCTTCTCTCACTGCTTTGCCAGAATATAGGTCGTTTAGATTGGTGTCGGCGAATGAACAACGAGGTAATTATTAATTTTTTTGGCTGTGCAACAGGGACTTCCATCGAAAAAATGTGCCCTGGATCAGAAGCTGCGGTGAATAGGCCATGAATTACTAGTGGCGACTTATCGTTTACTGAAAAGAGTGTTGTTTTCCGTGCCCAATTTAGAGTGCTGCAAGCAGAGAGATATGAAAAAGATTACAAATCGGATCTACTTGGCTTTCCTGATATGAACCGCTTGATCCTCACTGTGCTTGGTTGGAGACTGTCCGAGATATGACCGATAACCACTTGTTTTGTTGTCATCCTGGTTGCCTGAATGAGAGTCTGGAGGTGTAGGCACCTCGTATTGATTGTTATGCTAGCACTGTGTCCCTTCTCCACCCAATTTTGCTCTTTTGTTCAAAATAAGTTTTTCAACTAAATCATATTTGTACGACCGTAAAACACCCGTGCTAAACATTGATGTTTTGGCACTGATAATGGATTACTTCACCTTAGATGTATCTTTAGGACGCTTTACTGATGTTGATGTATTTCTCAGGCATTTCATACCCAGTCGAAGTCCCGATTGTTGATTCGGTCGGGGGATTCAAGGACCTTCTTGCTATCAAGAAGTCTAGTGATGTCAGGGCGGCGGCAAGTGTGATGCCGTTCTAATGAAAGACTTCTACTATGCCTTCTGACTGGAAACCGGGTGTTAACTCCCACTGGAGTTAAATGTAAAAGCCCGTACGCAGTGCTGCAATGTTCCAAACAGTTTGTTTCAATCGTGAACTTTCGAAAAGACTGGCCTTAATGGAGGATTTTGGTGGGTTCGAAAAAATGGAGAAAGCGAAGAGTGCTGGAAATGAATGCAGGTTGTTCCTAAGGTATCATCTATCACGTCCTTGGGAGCCTTGTATCAGCTACTTCCATTAAGAACACAATGACTATCCAATATTTAGTAAGCGACTTTTGGATCGATAAACAAAGTATTTTAAACAACTTACTTATCCGCCTGCTACTTCTCACTCGGGTATCCAGTGTTCTTCGGTGTCTCTTTAGTATGAGTAGTCTCGTTTTCAGACAGAGCTGTGTCACTACAGATCTAGTACGCCCGCTGGACTAGCTTGCGAATCACTGCTTTCCTTATACTGATTGGATGAGCAGAGTTCAATTTGGGGTTCTTTTATTAGCTTGTTGTACGGTTTGTGTGAACCAAGGGAAACAAAAGTTACACAGGAGGACAACCATATCCACACTACGATTCCCAGGTTTCATATCCTGACTGCAAGACAGCAGTGGTTTGCACAAGACTACCTGAATAATCTTACGTTTGAAAACCCAGATTTACTCCAACCACTCACCAGGAGGTTATGTTTGTGTAACTGTCGACTGAGTAATCTAGCAGAAAAGAACCTCGACACTGTCTGAGGAGCTCTTTTTATGATTCAGGATGTTAATGAAGTACGCAAACCATCACATCATAGTAGGGTCCACTTTCTTCGTGGTGTCACGGCTGGCGATGTCTGCACCCAACCACTTCACACTCTCTTGTGAAAGCCTTGTTCGATTAACTGTCCACGAATTTCACCGCCCACTATTTGAGATTTTCACATGCCGGCGATGTATACCTTTCCTGGGTCTTTATCTCCAACATCGGATATGATTTACCAAGGCCCTTTCTCATTCTGATTCTTTAAATTGTTGTGAATAATAAAAATAATAATCATGATTCGACTGCATCACGCTTCCGGTGCCTAGCTACAGTGTCACTCTATGACTGGGATACTACTAAGTTGCCCAAACCTAGACAGGAGCAATCGAGATGGAGATGTTGGGTTAGAACCACGGACTTTCCGGTCAGTAATTTCGCCCCTTCACCACTGAGACATCTCGAGCTCACGATCAAACTGAAGGTCGATCCATTCTCAAGCAACTGACCTAATTCATTCCACTTGCCAAGTTCAGACCTTACACAGATTACGCGAGCTTACGGATAGGAAGGTCCACGTTTCGAATCTTAGCACTTTGATTGCTCTGATCCAGGTTTAGGTAACCTGGCCGTTTCCTTCAGGTGATACGGTTAACCTCACCCACTGGCCCACCTAAATACAGTTTGAAGGCGGATTTTCCTGACCCTGTTTCCAACTTCGAATGGTTACTGGTAGATTTCGATCTTAAAAATGAATATTGAGCAGGATTTTTGCGTCATGTATGGTTTATTCCCTGCACAGGATGGGTAGTTCCATATTAAACACCATATTACACCACATTACAGCATGACCAGCGAAAATCCAGCTTTCAATGGCTATGAGCGAGATTACTGTCCACTGTTGCCCAATGTAGACAGCATGTCTGTCGCTAAGCTTCGCTTTATGCAGTGGAACGTACTAGCACATGGTAATAATCTTTTCGTCTAGTTGTATTGTGAAGCTTTTGCGACAGTCGACCAGTTTATTCACTGTCCAACCAAATTTTTGCCCCTTGAGAACCGCTGTGAACAGATTGTGGCCGAAATTTTTCGCTTCGATCCGGACCTTATTTGCTTACAAGAGGTTGATTTTTTAAGCCGTTTACTGAACAGGCTAAATGCAAACAGCGACAAGTACGCTGCGGCATTTTCACCAAAAGTGCAGTCGCCATGCCTGAAAATTGAGGACAATATTGGTCCGGATGGTGCAGCTATCATTTACAGGTAACAAACCGTTATTCACTGACTTTCTTCTTTCCCTTAGATCTGATCGACTGATTGCATTAAAAACTATGGAACTCCCGCTTGATAATTTACATGAGAGAAGTGCCTTACTCTGCAGATTTCAGTTTGATTCATCGACGAAGTTTCCTTCGTTTTACGTTGTATCTGTGCATTTGAAAGCAAAACTTTCTTATGTTGAAACGCGTTTAGAACAAGGAAAGTTTCTAAGGGACGGGCTTGTGAAACTCCTTTCTGAACATGGTAACTCAGACCAACGCAGCCCACTGTTCGTTTGTGGCGATTTCAATGCACAACCTCATGAACCTGTCATTGAATTAATGCAGCAGAACGTCTTTTCGATGACACTTGGTTGGAACTTGACTAGCGCATACGCGATGGCAAACAACGGAAAAGAGCCAGATTACACTACTTGGAAAATTCGTCACAGTTCTGATGAAGAACAACCCACGGAAATTTTTCATACAATTGATTATATATTTTATTCGCGAGACTGTGTCTACTTATGTGGTTTGTGGTGGCCACCTCTACGAGAAACTATTGGACCCACTGCTCTTCCATCGTCTCTCTTTCCTTCTGATCACATGAATCTGGTAGCAGATTTCGCCCTTCCGGTTTTAGATAATACAGAAATAAAGTTCGTTTAGCCAGTTTCCCTTTAGTCTGTTATTTCTATTCTTACATGCTTTGGTTAATCACTTATTTTATTAAGCCTGTTGATTGTGCACCATCAGGTAGTTTGACATCCTAAATATTTTAGTCTCGGACCTTATACTGGAAAGTAGTTCTTACGTATGCCGAAGTACGACAGTGACTACACAGTGGTTCCCTCCTCATTGTCCTGTTCCTACCGTTCCGGTTGGGATCTACGCGTTTCCACTTGAATGTACCTAGAAAGCACACAGGACAGTCCCGAGGGTGCCGTCACGAGATAAAGTTTGCCTACCGTTATGCAATGGACTCGTATTGGGTAAAGTTCACGAAGGATGCTAGGTCACTTACAGTTATGCAGTCTCCAGATGTTTCTTTTTATTGCTGTTCGGAGATGTAAGCATCTTGTTGCTGATAGTTTTCCCCAAGGACATAGAGCCGTTTCCGCTGCAATTCTGCACTCTCCTTTCGTTCCATTCTCCAGCAGGGTATTTTATTGCTCTCGGTGGTGCGATGGTCGATGGTTATCACACATTTTGCGATTCCTGAGGGGCTCCAAATCCACAATGTTACGAGCAACACTTGAACACAACGTTTCTGCTGCGAGTGGCATTTCTGCCTGTGGTTCACGGACATGCACAAGTTATGGTAACACATTCTCAACCCTTGTGCTGTCTGGTTTCCGGGCTGACTATTCCATAGGAGGCTTTGGCAGACTTTTGTTTTCTGAACCTGTTACTCGTATTTGTAAGTAGCGAGGTGATTGCAGTGATTGTCGCATCAGCAGCGAATTGTCGCGACACACTTGTGGGCAAACGAAAGAACTTGGTTTTGAATTTGTCTCTTTCCTCGGCGTTATAACTACTCCTGTTTCATTTTGAGTGTATAGACACTCAGCTTTATCTGTTAGTTCCTGTCAGCCATGTTAAGTGGATCAAGTTAGATGTGCGCGACTCATTTAGCACAAATTAGACCTTTCTGGACACATACGTTTCAAAATTCACTCTATGAAGTCAAGGTGGAAATGTCGGTAGCCTCACTACTGAGTGAATTTGCTTACTGTATTTAATATACGGCAGCGAAGCATCCGTATTGAACACTGATGTCATGCTGTCAATGATGATGACGACGACGATGATGATGATGTGTTTCATGTGTGAAAAAATCCTCGAAGGTAGCCACTGAATTTGTTTCACAGAAATTCATAATAAATAACAGCTGAATTGCAACCACAGTCTGTTTTCGGTTCACTCCTTAGGTTACGCTGCGGTAAATATACTTCTCAGTTGGTATTTCAATCAGTAGAATAGTTGTTCGGCAACTGGGAGTTCAGCTGTTTGAGTCCACTCCAGACGTACCTTTTCATTAGTTCAATGTTTCGCTGAACTTCTAACTTCAAGATATTTTGGCGTTCTTCTTGGCGTTACTCAAGTAGGCGCTCAAACGTCCTCGGGCCGTTGGCTTTCTTCCACCGAATCAACCTTCGACAATGTTTGCTCACTCTTTTTTAAGTCAGCACGGAATTTCAGCCCGGTTCAAAGGCCGGTTATGCATTTCCAATGCATCGCACTCCAGTCAAACTTCTTCCGTCCACATGTCTGTTGTGGTTGACCCAGCTGGTTTAGGTATCTTGCTTGAATATATTTCACGCCGACTATATTCACCTAGGTTTGTCATAACTAAATATTTTTCAAGTAGACCATAAGGTTGACGGAAACTCGGGGACTGCGCCTACCTGAT